TTCAAGGAAAGGGCTTTCATTATTGATACATACTGTTGACTCATGGGGCGGTGTAGCGTAGACAGGATGTTATATGCGTCTGTTTGCAGAGTTACGCTCCTTGATACAATGGGGATTGTGCTTAGCATTTCTGGGCTTGGCACCCCGCGATCTTTCATGTCGTATCGCTCATAGCGAATGATGCTCTATGTAGTTCGAAGTAACTGAACAACTGGAGAATTTTAGTAACGTGTATTTGCGAGTGCTGTTACACGTAAAAATGCTACATGTACATATGCATGCAACTGGAAATGTGCGTATGGAAAGCCATGCATGCTAGCATGTATACATGCATATTTACATTTACATATATACACCCACATGAAAATATATCCATATGTGCCATACAGACAAGATGGGATGGATTATAGTAACGTTTGAGATTACAGAAGCCGTTCACAAACTATAAAAAAGCGCACTCTCACAGCGACCAGGTCACACAAAAAAAATTACTTCAAATACCTAAACGATGAGGAACCCATTCTACGGCTACGTCTTGTATGATGATCTAAACAAACGCTCAAAGTGTTCATCAACCGTAGTAAATCAGTTAGCTGCCCCGCTACTTGCATATTGACTGGCTAGTACTTGATGTTCAATGATGGGTTATGTCACCATGCCTAATGCAAGTACAGACTCTAACCAAAAAAGTAACCTTAATTATTTCCTTGGTACTTGTAGCATGTGTTTATGCATGCCTACATAATATTAGACTACTACTACTACTACTACTACTACTACTACTACTACTACTACTACACGCTTGTACGCTTAGGTCTTGGCTGCTCTCGGCATGCTTGAATTCACAATTGAATGGTACGGCGACTTTTGTGTAGCACATACTTATTTAGACTTCGCTCATATTTAGTTGTGTAGCTGCTGCGTACCCTGTGCTTAATCTCTAGGCTTGGTCATTACTTTTATTAGTCTAACTACAAGTCTCCTTTTGCGTAGTTCCTTTATACTGACTCAAAGTCATGCACGTGCCTTTCGACGTTATGTACAGTGCGCATTTATTACGACCTCCTTTCCAAAAACCAATAGTTTCAATATCTAAACGATGAGCAAATGACTACATCTTGTTTGCTTGTTTATCTGTCATTATTACTGCACTTAACAACCTTTCAAATTCATCATCAAGATTGCCTTATCAGGTAGTGAAATGCTCTAAGCTATCTGCATATTCACTGGATCCTTACCAACATATGATCTAGTAGAACCAAAAACACATGCATTGTTCTTATGACTTTAATTTGGTGATTGCAAATGATTACCCTGCATCGTCTTTTCAAGCACCAGCCCTTGCGGAACATATCCCTAGATTCTCTAGTTACTCTAGTCAAGTCCTCTTTGAGAACAACATCTGCGGAACGAAATTGCATACAGTTAAGCCCCCTCATGGTTTGCACCAGATCGAAAAGCCTCAAACAATCGCGCAGGACGCATGTGCAGCCACAGAAGGCATAACTTCTGCAAAATCCAAACCTCCATAAATCTAGTGTTTTGGCAGAAATGCCATTGGAATTTTGGAATTCTGGACCGTTGGAAATTTAGATTCTTGGATTCCCATGAGAATCCAAAAACCAAAGACAACAAAAAACAAAAATCAAAAATCTCAAATTGGCTCTGGCATCTCTGCAAAGATAATTGGATTGTTTGACTTTTGGACTTTGCAGGAATGGTGCCTTTTGGTAGAGCAGTGCTAGTTCCGAGGGCACACTGCTATGTATGCTCTTTCGGTTGAAGAAGCTATGTAGGAGAGAGGGGTTACCGTACAGTTGCGCAGATGGTTTTTGCCCAGACAGGCGAAAGAGGCGTGGGGTTTCAGGGGGATACCATATATCATAAAAAATGAATGTGTGTCTGTGGCGGTCGAACTGTGTCTGAAGACAACCGCGGTCATGTAGTAGTTGTTGTATGTCTGCTTTCACTCGCCTGCACGCGTAACATGCAAGCATCTGTCTGTGCATACTCAAATTCCCGAGTGTGCGCGCGTCTTCAAGTAACAGGTTCATGCAATGACTTGTGTTTTTCTCGACAAGCAACTGCTTGGCTGAAATCATTGCTTCCGATATGTGCATGTGCAGTGCTACACTGCTGCACGACCAGGCAGGACAGCAGCTATCTGTGCACTATGCGGGCTGGCGGTTAGTCTTCCACACAAAGCTGCACAAACAAGTCTTGTCAGCTGCAATGCTGCAATATGCACCCACGCCAAAATCTCCAAAGCCACTGCCTGTTCCGGGGCTGCCAGCACTCGAAGTGTTCGATCCAGTGTCGTCGGAGCTGCCCGAGCCAGTTCCGCTGTCGCTGCTAGAAGCGCCCGTCCCACTGCCGCTGCTGTCGTCTGCGTCTGTATTCATGTCTGAACTTCCCGTGCCGGTACCGCTGCCACCGCCGGAATCCGGTCCGCTGTCTGTTCCGGAGCTGCCAGTGCTTGTGCTGCTGCTGCTGCTGCCGGTGCCGGTGTCTTCTCCTGTATCTTTGCCTGAACTTTCGGTACCCGTACCCGTTCCAGTGTTGCTACCTGTCCCGCTGCCACCGCTGGCATCTGTCCCGCTATCTGTTCCGGAGGTGCTGCCGCTACTGGTGCCGGTGTCTGTGTTCGTGCCTGTGCCCGTTCCGCTATCGCTGCTGCCGGTGTCACTGGAACTCGAGGTGCCGCTGCCAGACCCACTCGTGGCGGTGCTAGTGGTGATTGTTGTTCCAGTGCTGGTGTTGGCATCAGTTCCACTCCCACTGCCAGTGCCTGTTCCCGTCCCGGTTCCAGTGTCGGTACCCGTGTCGGTACCAGTGCCAGTGCCTGTATCGGTGCCGGTTCCAGATCCAGGTCCGCTTTCTGTAGCTTGGCCATCACCTGTCACACATATTCACGGCATCACCGATCTTCCATGCAACTAAATCGCCTGCGAGTCGACGAAAGTGCTCCTGCTGCGTCCAACATGAAGTTGGATGCAAGTGGCAAGCGAAACACTTCACTTCACTTTCACACACCCCGCTTGCGAAGGCAAGATTCCAGCAGAAAGGGCCTGGGAATTTGCTGCTACGCGGCAAGGAGCATGTTAGCATGGCACACCACACATTTCCGACTTACATGCCCCCAAAGTGGTTTGGTTACAAAGGCGCCGCCGCCTTGCCAATGGAATTTGCTGAGAGATATGCCGCTAAGCGCTCTTCACATCTGCCCCCTCACGCGCCAAAAGGTAGGGGAAGGGAAGGGGCGCTATATGGGCACGGGAAGGGTTTTTTATATCCACGCCGCATCGGCACCTTCGGCCTCTGCTACTTTGCACTTCGTCGGAGTCCGCTGCTACTGCTTCGTCTGCTCCGCCTGCAGCTGCTATTGTTGCCGTTGTTACTGGTACCGCCACAAATACCATCGAGCGAAGTAACTGCCACATCCGTTCTAGTCTTATGATATCAACGTAGGCGATCCTTGTTTCCCATCAAATGTAATTATAATTTACGACCCTGGATACGATTCCGAAGTACGAGTACAGGTTCATGTACGATTGCGATTTACGATTTCATGTACGAGCTGTAATGCACGATTCCAGGTACGATCTCGAAGTACGATTCCAGGTAGGATCGTGCCTGGAATCGTACGTTTGTAGTGTAAAAGGAGGATTCCAGGTACGATTCCAGGTACGATTCGAAGTACGATTCCAGGTACGATCGTGCCTGAAATCGTATTTTTGTCGTGTAAAAATGCGATTCCAAGTACGATCGTGCCTGAAATCGTACGTTTGTAGTGTAAAAGTAGGATTCCATGTACGATTCCAGGTACGATTCGAAGTACGATTCCAAGTACGATTCCAGGTACGATCGTGCCCGAACTCGTACATTGTAATGTAAAAGGACGATTCCAGGTACGATCGTGCCTGAAATCGTACGTTTGTAGTGTAAAAGTAGGATTCCATGTACGATTCCAGGTACGATTCGAAGTACGATTCCAAGTACGATTCCAGGTACGATCGTGCCCGAACTCGTACATTGTAATGTAAAAGGACGATTCCAGGTACGATCGTGCCTGAAATCGTACGTTTGTAGTGTAAAAGTAGGATTCCATGTACGATTCCAGGTACGATTCGAAGTACGATTCCAAGTACGATTCCAGGTACGATCGTGCCCGAACTCGTACATTGTAATGTAAAAGGACGATTCCAGGTACGATCGTGCCTGAAATCGTACGTTTGTAGTGTAAAAGTAGGATTCCAAATACGATTCCAGGTGCCATTCCAAGTACGATTTTGCCTGAAATCGTACTTTGTCGTGTAAAAAATACGATTCCATGTACGATCCCAGGCACGATTTCCAAAAACGATTCCGGGTACGATCGTGCCTGAAATCGTTTGTGGTGTAGAAGTACGATTCCAAGTACGATTCCAGGTGCGATTCGAAGTACGGTTCCAAGTAAAATTTTTCAGGTACGATCGTGCCTGAAATCGTACTTTTGTCGTGCAAAAGTACGATTCCAAGTACGATCGTGCCTGAAATCGTACTTTTGTGGTGTAAAAGTACGATTCCAAGTACGATCGTGCCTGAAATCGTACTTTTGTAGTGTAAAAGTACGATTCCATGTACGATTCAGGTACGATCTCGAAGTACGATTCCAAGTACGATTCCAGGTACGATCGTTTGAATCGTACTGGAACCTGTACATGGTCCTGCAATCGTACTTGGTATCGTATTCAAGCGGTAGTTTGGATTCGTACTGGAACCTGTGATCGTATTTTGGAATCGTACTCGGTATCGTATGCAAACCGTAAAAATAAATAACCACGGATTAACAAGACTTGCCTTGTCACGGATGTCATAATTCTAGTCCAAACCAACGGAATTTCCGTTATGCTTGTCCCCGCCGCTTCCCTGGAACTCAGAAAGCATCCTGACCTGTACAATACGACCGCAATCCTAGCCATGACACACAACACGAGCCTGAGGCCTCAACATGCCTGCATTTACGCACTTTCCGGTGTGCAGCGTGGGTCCTTGGCGAGGCTTGCAGTCAAACCTCAGTCTTGCATGCTAGTTCTGTCACACAGTCACACTCTACATGCTCTCATCTGCAGCCGTGCTGCCGCTCAATTCCGCTGCGCTGAGAAACGAATCACCATCCGCATCTAGCAGCTGATGGAGCGAGCCTTGAACAAGTCTCAAGGAAATCCGTCGCATGCTGACGCGAAACAACATCAGCGCGAGTTTGCTAAAGCTTGAGGCATCGGCTTACCAGGGCCACATCTGCACTGTCAGGGTCTGAAACATATGCTCCGTCATCGCGAGGTGCATCCTGGCCAGAATATCAAGCGAGGTCATCAGCAATTGGCAGACTGGGAGCGAGAATGAAAAACGCACCTCGATGGCTTATGGGCCATGCTAAGCACTCGTTTACAGGCATGGATCCGTTTCGGAGGAAAGTGAGAAATTTGCAAATCTCGCGCGGTAGGGAGACGCGCCGAAGAGAGGAAAGGGGAGAGATACATAGAAACAGAAGTAGGTAGCAGGCAGGTAGCTAGATTGATACTTAGACAGACAGATAGAAAGATAGACGGATGGCCCCTTCGACAGACAGTGGCCAGGGATAGATACAGACACGGGTACAAATCAGGATACAGGCATGAGATAGATAGAAAATACCAGCACCAGATTTCAAACATATTAGATGTCAATTGTCTGATGTCGGTCTTGGAGTTTTGGAGAACGAGAGGGAGCTGGAGTGAAAGCGAGAGTGCGAGCGCGAGCTCGCAGCCTGCAGAGATTGCAGGCGCTGTCTTGCGCCCCCTTTGGCAAAAAAGACGGGTGACGAAGGCGGGGCAACCGCAACGCCGCTTTCACGCGACTCTACTGCTCTGCTCGAATGAGAACGGGGGGAAGGAGGAGCAGGAACAGCAGCTGCACATCCCCCAACGTCATGCCTCTGCTGCTTGCAATCTCCGATCTTGTTGAACCTGATCGCAGGACTGAAGAGAGGTCTCGGCTGCGAAGGTGAACGTTCGGATCAACTTCGAAAGCTCTAAGAATTTGCAGGCTCCTCCGGCATCGCGGTGCCGATGATCAAGAGGTTCTCAATCAATACGGAGCACGGCTTCGAGGGATTCCTCGACGTATCGAAGGCAGAACCACGAACTCACTGAGGGACGGGTAACAGTTAGTCACTAACCGCCCCTGCCTGGCTGGCGGCTGGCTCACTGACTGACCGACTCACTGACTGACTGCGCAACTGGCTGACTAGCTGACTTGCATGGCTGGCTATCGAGACATCTTTCCCCTTTATGTGCGACCCGAACAAGACCACACAGCCTTTCCTGTTGCGATCCAGGAAGGCACCCTCAGGCAGATCGAGCACTGCCTGCGAGCTTCACTCGCGCACAGGCGAATCAAGGACTACTGTGCCTGAGAAGTGGCTATGAAAGTTGGAAGGGATACGGGAGGCACAGACTCATTCCAGATCAATCAGTTTGCATTGCTGCATCTTCTTACCCTGCAAATTCCGTAGTAGTCCCTGCTGTGCTCGAGCGGTACTCGCCGGAAGAAATACAAAACTCTCTCACACACACAGACAACTCTCTCAAAGCACACGTCTTAGCTCCTTGGGACCTACTTGCCTGATCTCTGCTCAACACACTGGTTTCAAGCGAGAAAAAAGGACGCCCGCAGTGCGCGCAACATCTATCATCTATCATCCGAATGAAGAACCCTCCAAAAGGGCCCATCTGGCCTGGCATCCCGTAAAACTTTCTGGGACACATCCTTCGGGATGCCAACGGTAGATTTATGAGTCAAAAGAAGCTTTCGTCTGAGGGCTCCGCCAGCTTCCAAGAGCTGGTCACGGATGTGTATGATTGCGGACTTCCTTCTGCCCTGCCAGGAAACCGAGCTCAACCAGCTATGCTGCGCAGCAGCAACAACAACAGACTGGACGGGAGGAATGCTGAGAGGAGCTGCTTCCACGAAAACCTTGCCCCGCTTCATCAGATCTACCTGCGAGACCGAATTCCCCGGCGCCTAGACTTGCCAGCAAGAGAGAGCTGTGCAAATCGAACAAGCTCACGCATACCTGCATCAGCCTCATGTCATGGGTTCGCAGCCTGCCATCAAGCATGCGCCCAGCACAAGCTTGCTGAGATGACATTATGCCTGTCTTGTGGCATTACTCGTAAAGAAGCCATCATCGAGGATAGCTTGGCCTCCAAGTGGCCAGACTGGAAGCAGCACTTAGACTGAGACTGAGGATGCTGCCTTGACGACCCATTCAGTGAATACCAGGCGAACTTCACCGCTTCCGTCCATCCTTCGCTTTGCCAGTGAGGACAGCTCTCTTCCCGCGCACTGCCTTGGACTCACAACAGAGGATGCTGCACTGCTGCACCCACCACATCCGGGGGGACCTTCGACCGAGTGCTGAATCAAAACTGCTGCCCGACTGGAAACTTCGCCTCGTCTGCGGAAGCCATACGACCAAGCGCCTCAGCAGCACTGCCTGAGGCGCAGGACAAGCTACGTAAAACTCTTGCAGAGCAGACAAGACAACAGCGCCTGGACGCTGTGCGTGGTAGGAGCTAAAAATGCGCAGATCTTCTGTCGACCCTTTCTCCTGGGCAGGCCATGCTTCGCTCTGACAGAGATGCGCCTGAGCCCAAGGTCCTCTAAATCAAGGCTGTCTTGAGCTGGCGACCGCCAAATGAGTCCTCCATAGAATTTCGCCGAAACGTATGCCGTGGATGCTGTGCCGGGCAAGCGTTGACTAAGCTCAGCACCACTAGTGTAGTCTAGCCTTCGGGAACCTGATGCGGCAAGGATCTGCAGAGCACAGTTTCGGCGAAGAGCCGTTGTCACTCCTGACTGAAACACCTGTGGCATTCTCCGTGCCGCTTCCGTTTTGAATCCCGAAATCCACCAAGTCCTCGGCAACAGAGCACAGGAAGCAGCAAGCAGGCCAGCCTTCTCAGATAAGCTCCCACTAAAGCTAAAAGATGAGCAATGCCAGGGCAGATTCGAAGAATGCAGCGTCGCCGAAGTCCAGAGGGTTGGCATCCACTGTAGGCGACATTACCACGGTCTGCCCACAGTCGGAACGTAAGAAAGCAAGGGACAACAGTGAAATACCTAGACCACAAGCTATGGTATGTCCACCTCAACCACTGTGCCACGGTCGTGCTTCAATCGCACTGGTGCTGCAAATGTGAGCACCTTACACGAAGAAGCATCCCCTGCACAGATCAACACGCTGGACCGCATGTGCCTCCAGTCTCTCCCGCTGCCAAAGATACAGCGATGTCTGTCTAATCTTGGACCTTGCTTGCCCGACGACAGCAATCTTGCTCGTTCAACAGAGTCTAGCATGTGTCTTGCTCCTTGCATGGGTGGAACTTGTCCCAAGTCGGCGTAGCGTCATACGGCTTGCAGAAGCGATATTTCCACGTATCCTGTCGCAGCACAAGAAGCATCAGCTCCGACAACTCCAGCCCATGCCCGACACCTGCGTGGCCACTTGGCAGGTTGGCAAGAAATTCAGCTGCTGCACGCTCAAGCTGTAGCTGGCCTGAGCCCCATGGCAAGACTCTCGTGGCACCAACTCATCAAGCGAGGAGAGGCTTCTGAGTTCTGAGGCCTCTGTGGCATCTTCAGATTCCTCCAGGACGATGTTGACCTCGTCAAGGCGCTCTCTTGATGTCGCAAAAGACACAAAAAGGAACACTCACGGCACGCACACGCGCACAGGCCTCGTTGGCCCCGTTGTTCTTCAAAGAAATCGCTACCGTCATATTTTTGCCTTAAACCGGACTGCCAGACATGCTGGGCTGGCACTGTGAATCTGCCACCATCCTTGCCCCTCCTCAGGCTGCAGCATCCAATACAGGTGTCGCTGCTGCTGACCACGTCCTCACTGGCAACCCAGCCTTGAGTCAGCGCGAGCTGATCTCGCTCCTTGACTGCGCGTCCTTTCTACGCTGCGGCGCGGGCTGTCGAGTTCCACCGATGACTCGGCCACCGCCCAAAATCGAATCGTTTCGACCAGGACGCCATTGATGAAAACGTGTGCCTTGCAGCTCATTTGTCGAAGCATTCACAAGCGAAGGCAGCAGTAAATCGGCAACTCCGCTTGAGCTCGGCCATTGGCTGGCGTAAAGGAACATGAGGTACCAAAGCGTGAAGGGCACACGGAGCTGACTACACGTCCGGTCTGAAGCACGTACCTCCGAGCCCGCTGCTTTCTGCTTCCAGGGCGTACTTGGTTGAAAAGTCAGGTCTGAACCCCTTTTCTGCATCCTTCTCGGATCCTATCGGAGTCGGAACAAACCCCGGCATGGCTTTGCTATAGCAAGACCGATCACGCATCTTACTTCCTAGGACCTGTTACAAGTAGGAATTGTCAACGATAATCAATCCTTTTGGTCTCAGGACTCTCGAGACTCCTATCGCTCAACCCTCTTGAGGCTTGGGGAATCTGTTAGCTGCTTGGAATCCAGAGCTTCCCGGCTCGGCCGGCTTTCGTGGCTCCAGCCCCACACAAAATTCATACACACAATCCTCGCCCTTGCACTGCAGCGAAATGAATTGGGCGGACGTGAGAAGTGACAAGTCAAGTCCACACCTCCATGTCATGTGCCAGCTGGACGTCGGCGCTGATGCATTGACGTCCGGAGTAAAATTGAAGGATAAGGCCTCACATGCGTCGGAGGAGTCCATATACAACTTCCTCGTCATACGGCCATATACGGCCTGTACGGGTTCGAAAACTAAGCCGCGCACCCTGAGCCCCACCTCATTGGAGGCCCAATCCGAAGCCCAACCGCTTGTATTGGCCGCAGAGTACGGCCTGGATTAAAGAGAAAATAGGGGAGGGAACGTGGCAGAGATAGCGGGTTGTAATTGTAATTGACGCTCGGTCCCCCAGCCATGAACCATTTCGGATGCTCACGTAGCGGCTGTATCTGAGCAGACGTCTGAACCACGAGAAAGACGCGCATGAACCCAACCCAACCCATTGATGCTCAGAAGTCACACGACTCCTCGGCAACTACTCTCCTGAGGCTTCGAAGCGACAGCGGCAGCCTGCCTAGAAGAGGTGTTGTCCAGCAGAATCTGCCGTGACAGAACCGCCTGTAATGCACGCGAGAACACGCAGGCTTAACTACACCAGCACGGTGACCACCGGCGAGTTTATGGTCTGCCCAAATCTCAGTTCACACACCCTTCTACCTCCATCCCACCATCCTCCTTCGCAAACAGGTCCTCTCCCTAGATGAGGTTTGTCTCCCTCTCCAGCAACCAGCAAAGTTTGACGTAATGCCCTGGAGCTACTGTTTTGCACCTCAGGTTTGGACATGCTGGCACCAACGAGGACGGGCATATGGGTTCGGCCCGCTATTGGCGTCCTACTTATCCTCAGACCCGATTTAAGCGAAAATTGCTGGCAAAGGGAATCCGTTACTCTGTTCCGACCCCTGCAAACGCCCACAGCGAGGCAGAAGCCCTTTAGGATCATGCAGATCCCGACCACCAGCAGCAAAACGGTGGGGGGCGTCAGAAACTGTGCCGACCCCAGCATGCGGACAAGACACATGACAAGACAAGATGGACAGGTCCTCCGCACAACATGACTTGCCAAACAATCCCATTCGCAACGCGCAAACCCGATCTGCAAGATCTGGTCAGGGACACGGCGATCTTGCTCTCCTATGGTACTGTACAATAAGACTGCAGCAACAAGCATTATGCTAACGACGTGTTAGCCAAAACTCCTACTGGACGAAGCGCGGAACCCCGCCCGGCTGAGCGGAGAGACCGTCGGATGAGGAAGCGTTCCCCCGCCCTGGGCGGTCTTGTGAAGGGGCAGCTCGAGGGCGACGAGCTGTTCAGCACCATGTCGACTTCGATCTCGCGGAGCATGAACCCGAAGCATCCCGAAGCCAGCACCGGACGTTGGCCGAGTGGGAGGCGACGAGCGGGTTGAAGGCGACGTCGCAGCGGAACCAGACGACCGAGGAGTCCAGCGGGAAGGCCTCCTCCGGGCGATGGATTTGACGGCTCTGTTGGCCAGCCGCCGCAACCTCCTGCCGCAGGTCGCGCTCTTGGTGCCGAAATGCCGCCAGAAAGTGCTCTTTGGAGGTGCGGTAATCTTGAAGGCGACGCCGACAACCTCGATGGTGTTTGCCGTCAACGGCCACGGTGCCACCTGGCCCTTTTTTAGGCGAGCACCATCCACGTCTTGAAGCGGTCCCTTGATGGACTCGGCGAGATAGCCGTCCCTGATGGCCGTCTCCGGGCCCGGCACCGCCGTGTGTCGTGCCTTCTGCCACTGGGCGGCCTGGACCACCAAAGCGGCTGCGACATAACGGCTTGAGCCCGGCAGCCCCGTGAACCGCAGGCTGCCTGAACTTTCGAGCCCTGAGGTGCGAGCAAGCAACAGCAAGGCGAACTCCGCCTCTTTTGCGGCGCCCGCGAAGACGCAATAGTACGTGAGGGAGCCGCCAGCGCCGTGAAACCAAACAAGCCCACCAGGCGAAGATGTAGGCAAAGGCGAAGTCGCGGTCGTCAAAGCGCATGCCCGGCTTGGGCCGGGGGGAAGACACCACCCGCACCACCGGCAAGTAACGCCGGGCCTGGGTGCCCGGCCGGAGCGACCACCACAATGTGGCGAGAGACCGCGTTTGGCGGTCGACCTCGCCGTCGGCGGTACGTACTCTTCTGCTGCGTCCCACGGATTGGGACGGAAGTTCTCGCGGCGGGGCCGGTTGGAGAACCGAAGCCATGAGGCGTCTCGCACCCCGGCAAAAAGGGATGAACCGAGGAAGCCGCCCGTGTAGCCGGCCCACAAGTCGCCCTGCGTGATGGTGCCGCCGGGCAGCTGCATGGACGCCGGCTGCGGTATGCTGACCGAATGGGCGGTGGGTGATCCGCTTCCGGATCAGTGGGCGGGGGCGCACGCTCGGCGATGAGGCCGCTTCCGTCCCAAATTGGGCGCGCAACTCGCGCTCAATGCGTCTGGCCTGCTCATAGGGTGTGCCCCGCCGACAGGGAGCCAAGGCCCTCCCTCGCCGTGCCGGCATTCTCCCAAGCCTTAGCGACGTCTGCCCCTCTCTGCCGCACAAAGGAGGCGGGGCTTTGGGTGCCGTACAAGCAATTGAATGAAGTAGCCTGGGTGGCGGCGGCTGCTGGGCCGTCGCATCGCAAGGACCAAGGGCGGCGCGAAAGTAAGCGCCTGCCGCGTTCCCAGCACCACAAGATGGGCAACTTAGGGACTTCGTCGGGCGGCAGATCGCTCGGCTGGCCGGGCGTGAGCGCGGTGACTAGCTGTGAAGGTCCTGCCCGCTGGCGGCAATGTCCCTGATGGCGATGAAAAGCAAGCCCGCCGTCTGCTGCGCCACCGCACTGGCCGCCATCAGCCTGGAGAGGTCGTCGGCCGACATGGCCTCCAAGGCGGCGACGAGCTCGCCGTAAGTTGACGATGAAGAGATGCCCCTCGATGTGGGTAGAGGCGAAGCTCACGTGCGTTACACAACAAAAAGACCGAATGGCCATTGTGAGAATCGAAAGTCGAGTGACGCGGCCGCGCTTACTCCGGCCTGGAGCATGCCGAGCTCCAGCTCCTCACCCACGACCACAGGCCTCGCCTCTTCAAGTGATCTTTGTGCCATGCTCCCGCAATACTCAGTCACATGCATGCTAAGCCTCTCCGAAGTCTGGAAGCTCAGGGACATGAGCCGTCACCGTCCAATTCACAGCAGTCTCTGTGACCTGCGGCACCATGGTGCGGATGAATCCGAACAGAAGCAGTACTGTGCCTGTCCGGAAGGACCGCAAGGGCAAATCCGGAGAAGACCATCATGGTCGCCAGCACTGGAACCACAACCTGAGAGGCTTGTACATATTGCCATGCCAAGGAAGCTGCGAAACGTAGTGCCGGACTTCTCTTCGTACCCGTGTGACCAAACACCTCGAAGGCAACTGCAATCATGCTGGAACTGTGCTGCTTGACACTGTCCACTTTCTGGTTACTCCAAGGACGCACTCAACCACATGGATGCTCATGTAGTAGGTCGCTCACAAGTGCGCCAGTTATCTTTGTGCATATGACAAACGCTCGAGATTCAGGGAGCGGGGCACACTCATTCGGGTGCATCATGCCACGGGACGGTTGCATGAAGTTGCATAACCGTGGTGATTGCAAGATGATAAGGTGACGGCATAGCCATGGCGAGTGAAAAACAAACCGTGTCAGAACAAGGACAAGTCACGATAGCTCACAGCAAGTCGAACAAAATGTGAATGACATAAAAACGACGGCGACGACTTGAGCCGCGCAAGGCCGCAGTAGCTACGACTGGCAACTGTTGTCTTGCATGGATGGTGTTCAAACTGTTTTTTCCTGTTGTTGCTGCGTTGCATTCATAACATTACCAAATGCGATGCGAGTCAATGGGCAGTGGACTGAGGCGGCAGGGGCCGGAAACTTTTTGCAACGGTGTCAGCCAGAACGTGGGCTGTGACTAAGACATGATCATTCCACCGCCCTGCTTGTGGCCTGGACTCTGCACCGAGATGCACTGAGGATCTTACACATTGGCCAGCACAATCACCACCGCAGCAGGAGCTGTTCGTGCAAATGCCAGGCCTCAAAGCTGAGCAGCCGTGTGCAAAACATTCAAAATCTTGACCAGTCCAAGAATTTCAGAAAGGCTTCCTGAGCCAGCTTCAAGACCACGCCATCCATTACACATGGTCCTCTCGACCCTTCTGATACTGCAAACCCCGCTGCTTTCAGACGAGGAGGGCCCCAGCGCATTGCCAAATGAGTGGTTCGTGAAGCTGAGGCAGGACAGGTTTACCTGGCAGCGACCGAGAAAATGGCAAGAGCAGACTACCGCTGGTGGTTCGCTGGGTGCTCGGCCTGCTCATTTAAGAAGTTCATCTCTTCCGGAGTGTCGATCCTTCAAAGGACGCCAGTCAGTCGCTGCATGTGCGACATGGCCGCCATGCTCCATTATGCAGCCGAACGTCAGATTCAAGGCGATCTCGTCGCAAACGTCACCTCGAGCTTCGCAAGCCTGATGTGTCGCTGTCTGCAGCTCTGTAGCGCTGGTCTGATGAGGCATGCCTCTGCACAGGTCTGAGAGCTGTTTTGAGCCAGTACCCAGGCCAGAGCCTCAGCCAGAGCATCGACACAGCGCAAGCCAAACACGTACAAAACTGGGCCCTTGGCTGAATGGCAAGCAGGATCTGATTTGAACTCGGCGACATGGCGCCAACAGCACCAGCAACAGGAACAACAGCAGTACCAGAAGAAATGGAGCCGGCAGCAAAGAGAGCATGGAACCGTCGCCGCAGAAAAGCCGCAAAGCAGCTCAGGCTGCGGCAACAGCACCACCAAAAGCAACGTCAGCAACAGCAGCAGCCAGCAGCAGCAGCAGCACCACCACCACCACGGCTGCTGCAGAAAGCAACGGCAGCAGGGGCGGCGGCAGCAGCAGCAGGCGGCAAGCACAGAGCAGCAACACCTGCAGTAGCAGCTGCAGCAGCGGCAACACCGACCATACCAGTGGGACCAGCAGTGCGGCAGCTTCAAGCAGGCCACAGGAAAAATCGTTGTGCAGCAGAGCTAGAGACATGCGTCATCCGAGAGTTCGCAAGGCAAACCTGCTCTGACCTGAAAAAGAAAGCATGCCGGACCCATGGAATCACAGGACCCGACCCAAGCACTTGCTGTTGACGATGAGTTGTCATCCTGTAGATTCGCTTCGCTAGAATGCCATGAGCCTGAAGACCAATGAGCAGGTACACCGACTGTTTCGTAAGTCAGGAACCACGGATGGAGGTGGCACTGTCCAGAAGCCTCAGAGTGGCAGAACTGGCGGGTTGAAAAAGCAAAGAAAGCAGTATATCTTCTGCTAAGCACACAACTCATGTTGGTGCTGGTGGCAGCAAAGCACATGTTGGTATCACAGTAGACAGCCTCCAGAGAATGCTTTGCACAAAACTACCGGAGCTAGCGAGTTGGCTCTAATTTCCCGCCTTGCAAAGTTCCAAGCGGCTGCAGTGGTACTTGGCCTACTTTGCATCCGACAATGATTTCCCCTGCTTCAAGAGTCTTGGTCTGGCCTCGGAAACACTGCCCCATGCGCACCTCCTGCCAAAATCGGATTCTGTCACTGCTGCTTGGAGATTTCACATCACACCAAGCGCTGAAGCGTGTCAGATTCACGCATCAGCATCAGTGTAGTTTGCGCAGTTTTCTCCAAGACTGACGTCTTTTACGCGTAGTATGATGCTTCGATCAGCTTGGAACTCCGAAGCGTCGTCGTATGCACAAGTTGCCTCAGATTGGAGTTGCTCAGGTACCCGCATCACCAGGCTTCAACAGGCTCTTCTGAGGCTCGCGACGTCAAACTGCAACATGAGTGATACATCTTCTTCCCTCGGCAAGCCACAGGCCACAGGCTGACTTGGATCCGGCCCCCGCTGGCTCTCCCTCGCCTTCGACAGACTCCAGTCGGATACCATCTTCTGGGTGCAGTTGAGGAAGCCTGGAGGCACGAAGTCCCTTGCATGAAAGTAAACGAGACTCGTCAAGTCACGGATCCCAATGTCCACTTCTGCATGGGATCACCGTTCTTCAGGTTCTGTGAACCCATGGTATAATTAATGGTGACGACTTGTGCTTGCGGGAGCGACGGTGAAGCACAGACAAGCCCAGAGGTTTGCATCCGAGGCCCAACAAACATAGCACCGGGCTTGACAAGGGTAAACCCGGAGCATGGGATTGCAGCTCCAATGCAATCCACGGTAAGCTAGTAAGCTTAAACTCGCCGCGGAGCCGAAAGAACTGGAGAGATCTGGCTTCCGTGTTTCGCGCCGCTGAGAGTACAGTGATTCTGCCGGGCAATCGCAGTTCTTGGCTCTCTGTCGATGGACTTGAGAAAGAGAACATACTCCTTTCCGCTGCAAAACACACAAGCTGCTGTGCTCGCTCCAGAGTTAGTCCATCACAGAAAGCCTTGACCTTGTGCTCACATCTCAGTGTGACTAAACTAGATACTCTCCAAATCCGTCTTCACCTTTGACCTGTCAGCAGTGCCTGTGAAGTGGATCGCATATGTTTCAACACATCACGAAGTCGTTGACAAATGGGATACATAAACTGAAAGAGAGAATCTCGACTCAGGAGGTTGGTTGGTGCTTGTCGCGAGAGAAGTGAAGCGATGCTTCCAACTTCGGCTCTGATAAAAAAGGTCAAGCTGCAGACTCCTGATAAACCATCGGTTGTTGGTTTCTCCAATGCTCACCACCACAAAGAACTCGCCTCAAATGCCTGGTTTGCTTCAAGACACAAGAAGCCTGCGTTGTGTGTGATGTCCGTGTCTCTCGCTTCCTTTGGCTGTTCTCCTGTTTTCAAACCGTTCGCCCTTGCCGCTCCGGCCGACTCTGACTCTGGCCTCCGCTCCCACAACGCCTTGCTTGGTGAACCTTTCCGTTCGCTCGGGGCTGCCTTCTGGTGGACGGCACCTAGTGCGGATAATCCTGTCTTGCGACACCTATGGAGGCAAAGCAAGGCAGATCCTTCATCAAGCTGTCAATCTGAAACTCGCCGAACAGGGACCGCTTCGGCTTGCTGACAGACAAGAAGGGCTTCGCTTCAAACAACTTACTGTGAAGGTTTTGTGATTAGTCTTTCCTGTGCTTACACTCGCCACGCTGCGAAGACGGGAGGAGATGCACAAGAACATGCTCTGAAGCCCTGCAACGCTTGGAGACCGCATAACTCTTCGTCAGCTCGGACGGCTGCATGCAACTGGATGAAGAAGAAACCCTGGCACCCAGCCGATGTGACCTGTGAAAACCATCTGCAGCGGCAATTTTATGCTCGGACAGACCGAACAAGGAGCGGACTGTAGTGTTCCAACCGTCGGTTCCCAGCAAGGCTGCCTGACAAGTTTTTTATCTCCTGCAAGGCCGACCAACAAAATCAACACAAGAACACACAAGTGCCTCGTTGGCACAGTAGTTTCGGACACTTCCGTTGCCACCATCAATTTCTTCCGCGAAGGCCTGTTGGCTCTGACAAGGCATGTTCCAAATTCTTTAAACAAACAGTTGTCTTTTGAAAGGCCTGTGGATTGCCGGACAACCCTGCGCAGTCTGGATCGTATCTCGCACATCCACAATCACAGGTTCCTCAGCGTGCAATTTGATGCATGCTTGTCGGTGCACAGACAGGCTAAGACTCGTTCCATCTGCAAAATAAGAGCTTGTTGCCAGGGCATCACCACCACAAGACCAGTCCTATCACAAGGCACAGCGATGCAAGCGACCAAACATTCAACGGTATGCAAGAGTGCTTTCGACTTTGAACACCTTGGATCGGAGTATTGGCCCAATCGGATTATGTGAGCAGTGTGAAGGATGCATTGTGGGCAATTTCATGGTCAGACCCTTTGCCCTTTGCGAATAACCAACATTGCCTCAATTTTCAATTTTAACCGGAATGCACTAACTCGTTAAGCTCCTTTTCCGTCGCAACAGCCCCTTGCCTACTCAGGCAGAATGACCCTTACCTGGAATGATGTTGCATTGAAGCTTGCCAAGAGGTTCCCAACATTGTTCATACATACAACGCTGGTTGCTCCCATCCCTCGCCACACATGAAGCCATCAAACAAGGATGCCGGGTGATCGGCGTTTGACGGCACCGGAAGAACATTGCACAGTGACGCACACTAGCAACCCGTTTACATCCCCATTACCACCCTTTGCATTATGGCTAAATTGGCGCTTTTGGGAGCATGGCCTGGGTTGCTCAATGTTCTTGGGGTTGGCAAGGGGCGTAGGGGAGGCAGACTTCCAGCCACCGAGCCTGCAACCAACCTTGCGAGTCAAGTGGACCGACTTGTTAGCGCCCCTCCCACCTGCCTGGCGTTGCTGCACAAACCCTGCTTAGCTCTTCTTCTTCTCCGAGGCATAAAAAGCGAATTGAGCCCCGCGGGTGCTTGGCCCGCCCGTGTTGGGCTTTTGAAGGGAGTGAAAGATTTGGATGACTTAGTTCTCTCTGTCTTTCTCTTTTTCTTTCTTTTCTCTCTCTCTCTCTCTCTCTCTCTCTCACTCTGTCTCCCTCCCTCTCTCTCTCTGTGTCTGTGTCTGTCTCTTCCACTCGCTTCAGTTTAAGCTTCCTGCGAAAGGCCTGAGTGCAAGCTGGGTGCGACATGAACTCTTGCCCACATCCAAGAAACTCGACGAAATCTATCATTTGAGCCAGACCATACTGAACCCCACGCGGCCTCTCGTTGGCAGGCCTGGGGCGCCATATTTGCTTTATGCAGCAGCCAATCAATGCCTAGCCTGGGCTATAGCTCGATAGCCGCAGTCTACAGGTCCAGTCTGGTCCAACGGCACTTCAATGAGCATGTTCAAATCTCGGCCTTGATGCTGAAGGAGCCATCCGAGAAGGCATCAGCAAGCTTCGCGCGATTACTCCACGTGACAGGTCTAACGATTGATCAGCCCGCAGAAGTAACCCAGTGCGTCTCGTGGCACGTTCGGTGTCAGCAGGGGTCAGAAGTACGGGGGTGGCCATGGCAACTGCACCTAAAACCCTGAACATTCTGAACAGAAAGAGCAAGCCCTCGCCAGGAAATCCAAGGGAGGAGTCAAAGTCAAGACGAATCCAGTCAGGCGAGGTACGACAAGCTGGCAGCAAGCAGGAAAAAGGCTCAACCCGAAGGGAGCTGACAGGGGGCAAGAAGGCAAAGGATAAAAGTCCAGACAAAAAGAAAACGCAGAAAAAGAAGCGCGACAGAGGAGCCGGAAAGAAGACCCCCGGCATGAAGAACAAGGCAGAACAACAAGTGCCCAAGAGGGACTAGGCCCAGCAAGACTGCAACCCACGCCCCTGCAACCGAACAGAACCAAGCACGTCTTTCTCGGGCGAGCGAACAACCTGCTTGGAATCGTAAGCTCGCTGAGCTCTCTCGTGAAGCTGGGATGCAAGACTGGCAGAGGCAGAAACACCCCGACAAAGCTCTTACACAGACAAAGTCGTCGATAACAAGCGCTTGCACGTCAAGCCCGAGCGGGGGGGCTCGACGATTGAGCAGAAACAGCTCGGGCCTCAAAGCACCAAAGTACTCCAGCATCTGCCAGTGCGATTCCAGGGCCAAATTCCACTCCAAAATGGTCTCCCTGAAAGAGACTGCCGAAACTCGGCGTGTAATTACGACTCGCGCTCGCACAAGATTGAGCACGGATGTCCCAGTGCACCCTCGCGAACCCCAGCGGCAAGGAGCTCAGCTCCTGTGAAAGAAAAAGCCCAGCAGTTTGCGCGCGACGTGGAGGCAAACACAGCTGCCTGGTGATAATAATCCTTTCTGTCGGAGATATAGCCGACGGGGCGATGGGAACGCTTTGGGAGCTCCAGGCAAAGGAAATCAGTCCCAGCTGGCTCGGTCCGCCCATATGCATCTCTGTGCAATTTGGTAACCGTTTGCCGCCTATCTGGCGATCCCGATCAAAGCTCTTAAGAGCGTTGAAGACACGGCAGACGTCTAAAGGAGGCGGGCTCCTTTTCACAAGTCTAAGGGGGCTCTGGGCGCTCCACAGGCTGGCAAGTTTGAGATTCTCGGATCGATCCTCATAGGGAACGCTGCAGTGCATGCTCATGCGTCAAGCCGTGACGAAAGCTCGAGCACGACCCGGATCTCGTCGACCATGTGTGCAAACACGGACGTAGCAACCAGGAGCTGGATGTCGTCCAATTTGAGAGCCGTGCCTGCTGTTGTCAGCTTTATACCCCGTCGCCGACCGTGGAAGGCTCACACGTGCGACGCAAGAGGGGCAAAGGAAAGCAAGGCCGAACGGGGCCGGGGACGAGGAACCACGAACGGCCCTGAACAGAACAAAACCCCACGACGAACGATGCAAAAGCGACAACCGAACTTTGCGCGAACAGGACCGACGCTCAGTTTGCTTACTGTAGGCGGGCCATGAGCCTCCACTACCCGAACTGGACTCTTACCGTCCGGGCTTTTGCTGGCACGAAGAAAGTATAAGATAAGCCCGAGGAACGGCCGGGAAGACAATGCCATCTGCTACCAAGCCCGAGCTCGAACTGGTAGTCCGGCAAATGGCTTCTGCACAGCCACGGCGTGGAGTGCCATGTCACTCGCGACGAATTTTTGCACGGCGCGCACAAGTGCCGTGAGCGGCTGTGCCTGTGGCCCTGTCGGTTGACACCGCCGCAAGCGAAAGAGCGGAGAGGGAAAATCCCGTCCGACAGGCATATGTCCCGTCGCGTTCACGTCCTGAAACTCGGCTACACGCTCAGGACCTTTGGCGGTGGTGCTGGCTGATGGCGGGTTGGACGAGGCTTTCGCCTTCTTCTGTGCCGCCTTCCAGCTGCACTGCTGGAACGGGAGGTGGCTGCACCTTGGGAACCATCCCCGGTGGCGGGCTCACCTTCGCGCCTTGCCAGGCGGCTGGCCAGGAGTGATCGGGGCCTGAACTGGCACCGGGTGAAGTCCATCCACATCGCTGTCGGAGAGGGGCTTGCTCGTAAAGCTTCGCTGTTGTACCAGAGGCATCACCGCCTGTTGCGGCAGCGTCGTCATAGACGTTGTGGCCCTCCGCGACGGACTGGGCGAAGAGGGACGCCAGCCGTGCTCTCGCCTTTAGGGACAGATGTTCCAAGGAGTCCATCAGGTCATCCTCCGTGGCTCCCACCAGGACCCTGCGCCGCATCTCCGTCGTGGGTGCGACGGCTGGCCCTGCGCCCCAACTGTGCTCATCTGGGCGATCTGCGACCGGGTGCGGAGCCGTGTCCTTGGGCTGGGCCGCTCCAGCGCTCTCTGCAGCGGACCGGGATTCTTCCCCGCTGCTTCAGCCATGGCTGCTCGTGGAGCTAACTTGAAAAAATTTGCTGCCGCACAGGCAAAACTCGAGAGGTAACATCGTCGAACAGGTTTTGCCACTAGACGCACAACCAAACAACCGTCGCACTCTGCCCGACGTTGAACCAAAACTGAGCACTACGACGAATTCCGCACTTCTTTTTCGTCGTGTGGTAGCAGCGCTGTAGCACGCCGTTCGGCGAATCAACAGGCTGAAACGACGAGTCGGTGCCGGGGCGCATTCTGCACCCGGCCCGCTGTCGTTCGCCCTCCGCCGAAACGCGAAAGTAAAATTGGGCGGTGAGGGTGGGTAAAATCTTCGAACTCGTCGAGCCAGAGTGCTAGCGACGGCCGTCGTTAACGGTTGTTACTGCACACACACGTGTGTTTCACAACAACCGTCGCACTCTGCCCGACGTTGAACCAAAACTGAGCACTACGACGAATTCCGCACTTCTTTTTCGTCGTGTGGTAGCAGCGCTGTAGCACGCCGTTCGGCGAATCAACAGGCTGAAACGACGAGTCGGTGCCGGGGCGCATTCTGCACCCGCCGTGCGCACCGACTCTCCACCCCGCGCCGGCTCAGACGTGGAAGCCGTTGGCCAGCTCAAGGAGGTGGTCCGCCGCCTCCGTCGTGGCATATTCGAGGTCCTGCGCCGATCGGGCGAAGATGGAGAGTATCTCGTCGGTCGGCGTGGAGACCCTGTGCCATCCCTCGGCCGTCGCCCTGCTGAAGTCGTCTCTGGAGACTGCGTCGGCGACGTTGGCCTTGGAGGGAACTCGCTCAAACTCGACGAACCACCCCTGGTGCGCCGCAAGCGTCCAGAAGGCTGAAATCATGCCGTTTACCGCGGCGTCTTTCCCGTATCCCTTTGTAAGGGCTGCCTGTCCGGCGGTATTGTCGATGAAGGCGACGATGGCCGGCGGCAGACGGGCGCCGAAGGTGACGAAGGCGACGAGCTGGGCCAGCACTTCGAGCATGTAAATGTAGGCCTTCCTCGTCGAGAAGAGCTTGACAAACCATTCCGGCGCGACGCCGTGGTCGAAGAAGACCTGGTCGCCGATTCGTAGCACATATCCCCATCCATTCGCCGCCTTCTTCGTCGGCCGTACCCCCTGGGGTACGTGGCCGGCCTTGTGCCTGGTCTCCCCGTCGGTGAAGAAGGCGTCGGCGTACAGGATCGCGACCTCCATCTCCTTGGCGTCGAACGGAATGAATCTGGGTCGGATCGTCGGCAAGATCCTGGCCAAGGAGCGTAGGGCCGCCGAGAGACCGTCGGACAGGGAGTCCGCCGTCCATGCCGCTGTGTCGGCCTTTGCGACGGATCCGAATGCCGCTTGTGTCAAGAAAGACACTCGTCCGGCGAGCTTGGCAGCCTCGGCGGGTGATAGTGTATCCTGGTCG